AAAAGCGAAAAATGTTAGTATATCCTTCCTATATATAATTTCAGAATGCGCTGAGCCTATGTGGCTGCTTCTGGTGTTTCGGAATCGGGAAAATTTCACTTTTGGTACCCCAAAAATATCTACTTTTCGCTTTTGATACCCGTGTTTTCGACTTAATCAATATTAGTACGTAACTATGAAAAATCAATCAATTTTGGTCTCGAACGTCAGTTGACCGTTAGTCAACTAACTGAAACTGGCTATAGCCGGTTACCATGTTCGAAAAAACCTATTGAGCCTATTCCATCCAATTCGATCGTGCATTCAGTCCCAGTTCTCAAATCAGAAAATAAAAAAAACCCTGAATACGGTAAGTAAATCTTGTCTTCCTTGTCGAATATTTTGTTCAATTTTTCGATTGCTTGTTATTTCATATGAACATCTAAAAAATTAGGGCTTTCGTTTTACAGGCTGAGGGTTTCAATTGAGAGATTCCCTCAAAAATAGGGTTTTTTCTTCAGTTGAACAAATTAGGGCTTTTTCATGAACATATTAGTGTATTTTAATTTTGCTTATTTTTATTGTTGTTGATTGACTGTGTGTTGAGGGTTTAGGGTTTCCCTAAAAATTAGGGTTTTTTTTTTTCAGTTGAACAAATTAGGGTTTTTTCAATTGAATATATTAGTGTTTTTTAATTTGTGATAGGTTGCTTATTTTTGTTGTTGTTGATTGGTTATGTGTTTATGGTTTAGGGTTTTCCTAAAAATTAGGGTTTTTTTCAGTTGTACAGATTAGGGATTTTTCAATTGAACATATTAGGGTTTTTTAATTTGTGATAGATTACTTATTATTGTTGTTGTTGAGTGAGCAATTTTTTTTCTCGCCCAAAAAACGAACCAGCAAGTTTATCTCCATTTTTGCCCGTTGGAGAAGAAGAAAGAACTTGTTCAACCAATTTCCGTTAGTTGACTAACGGTCAACTGACGTTCGGGACCAAAATTGATTGATTTTTCATACTTCAGTACTAATATTGATTAAGTCGAAAACATAGGTATCAAAAGCGAAAAGTAGGTATTTTTGGGGTATCAAAAGTGAAATTTTCCCTTTCGGAATCCTATTTGACGAAGAATCATGCTTCGTAATTAGGTTTGCACAAATAATATTAATATATTAATAATTAATAATCTAAGTTCGGGTATTCTATAAATATTACTTAGCTAACTTAAGTATTTTAATATCACTTTTACTAATATAACCCTTTAATTATTTGTAATTTTACATAGTGAGACACTAAGTGACTAATATATCCCTGAATTTTGATTTGCTTCCTTCAATAAGTTATTGATTATAAATATATTTCAAAAGTAGATAACTTTTGTATTTTTTATCGGTTTTACATATATAATATATCAAATTAATCATCTTTTGGCGATCTTCGATTTGACATCCATATTGTATATATAAAATAAATAAATTAAATTTATCTTTATAATAATAAAAAATAATAATATTTATTAAAATTCATTAGAAAAATAAAATTATTTCTCAATTGATATATTTATATTTAATGTAGTTATATAATGTAAGTTAAAAAATTAGTATAATATAACACAAGTAAGTCGCACAAATAAAAAGTATCATAATAAATATATAATATATATATATACTTATAAATGGTATTTAAATTTTTAAACTATTTTTTTTCATTAATTTTAAATTTTAATAAAAAAAATTAGGAAGCACCCGTGTAATACACGGGTGTTGTACTAGTTTCTTAAATATTACTATATGTTTGTGTCTGATTAAAAAAAAGTATATATATATATGGGAACGAGTCAACGGCATGAAATGAAGGGCTAAGATAAGATGTGCTGAAACGGACTGTCAAGATTTGTCTCTGAAGATTCGTAGATTTATTTCATTTAATTGCCTTTTCTTTTTATTCTAAAATTGACAATTTTCGTTCGTTTGCGTCATCAGTTTAATTAGACATGGCCAGGTGCCGGGTTTTGGCCCGGCCCGGCCCGGTCCGGCGGGCCACGGGCCAACCAACCCACGAACCGCAACCGGCCCGCCAAAAAGTAAGGGCCGGTTCATAGAACCGGCCCGAACCGCCGGTTCACCAGCCCGGCGGTTCGGCCCGGGTTCGACCCTTAAAAAAATCAAAACATTGGCCCGGCCGGCCCGGCCCGGCGGGACAAAACAAAAAAAACCGTGACCCTTAACAGGACCGGATTGGCTGCGGTCCGGTTCTCGAACCCGGCACTATTCATGCCGGTACTGGTATCGGGCCGGGCCGGGCCGGTACCGGGTCACGGGTCGGGCCACGGGCCGGGCCGCCCGTGGCCATGTCTAGTTTAATAAGATAAAAATCCAAAACTGGGGCACAAAAATCTTATTGAACTGTAGCTGTCAGTCATTGATTTCATTTGCTTTTTAGTTAGACAATGAAAAAATCATGCTTGCTTTGGCATATTACACTAAACTGTAGTGCTAACTTTATCACGTGACTAATAGTTTATGTACTTAACCTGATAACCTCAATATATTAAAATTAATAAACTTTAATAAAATGTGTGGAGTTTTTCCTCAGATTTATATATAAATATCTATATATATATAATTGCTAGCTAATCATTAAATAAAACCTAATAAATAAAACTTATTTAATTTTACTTAATATATTATACCTAATAAATACTACAATTTTCCATATACAATTAACGTTACTTTTACAATTATGGATTATTATTGTACATTTATGATGTAACGTTTTATTCTTTTAAATGGTATTTTCATCTTTTTATTTCTTTTATGAAATTTAATAAAAACTAATTAAAATTTAAAATAATCTATATATATAATTAGGAATTATCACATCAATAAAAATTTGCATATTCCACTCTTTTTTTATACATAGTCGCTTGGTTTTTTACTTAATATGTAAGCATACTAATGTTGAAATTAATTTTTACGATTTTATCAGCTCATTTAATAATTCTAACTTTTATTCTATATATTTTTTAAATAGAATGATTACAAATTATTCTACCAAAACCTGTGGATATAATACAAAAAATAGAAAACTAAAA